ATATATATATATATATGTGTGTGTGTGTGTGTGTGTGTGTGTGTGTGTGTGTGTGTGTGTGTGTGTGTGATTGGGGAAATATGCCGAATTTTTTAAAAATGTATCTATGAACACAAAAGGGATCTTATACACAATAATGTATCAAATGTTTGTCATACATAGAAATAAATTAAACCATAAGTTTGATCTAAAAAATGCCATATTTATTAAAATTGAAAAACATATAGAAATATTTCGAAGTGCCTGTATTGAATATTATCAAAAAATAAACCCACAAACCATAATATACAACTGGCTTCTCGCCAACTGATTTCCACTTTTTTCAAACATTTGGACATTTCATACAAGGAAAGCATTTCAACGAGTCAGTTAATGTCCAAAATTCCTTCAAAGATTTTTGTCTCGTAAAATCCTATGCTAGGTGTATACTAGTAACTTGTAGAATCTCATAATAAAAAAATTCTATATTATTGCCTGATGAGCCCAGTATCTATGTTATATATTTCGAGTTGAGCAATACTAAGATATGCTACAAGGCAGGTAAATGTCGTTAATACTATTTATCATAAACGGAGCATTTACTTAAATATTTGTATCTATAAAAAGAGCGTATAAACACAAAACAAATGTCTTAAAATAATTGTCCGAATTTGTCCATTTCACACACACACACACACACACACACATATGTATAAATAGATAGATAGATAGATAGATAACGAACAGACATAAAATAGATAGATAGATAGATAGATAGATAGATAGATAGATAGATATAAACAGACTGAGATAGATAGATAAATATGAACATACTGAGATATATAGATAGATATGAATAGAGTGAGATAGATAGATAGATATGAACAGACTAAGATAGATTAATAGATAGTTAATTAATAGACCCAGACAGAGATAAAAACAGTATGTGATAGATAGATAGATAGATAGATAGATAGATAGATAGATATGAACAGTCTGAGATAGATAGATACATAGATAGATAGATAGATAGATATGAACAATCTGAGATAGATAGATAGATAGATAGATAGATAGATAGATAGATAGATAGATAGATAAATAAAGAGAGGTTGCTATGACCTAGTACGAAAATAGCTACTGGTGGTAGAATGATTGCCTTGCAACAATCTCCTCAATGGAGCAGTCCTCGTTTTGATCTTAACTCAAACACTGTCTACAGGCTAAGGTTTGAAATACCCGATATTTCCAACATGAAGCACGCTATATATACTCTCTCTCTCTCTCTCTCTCTATATATATATATATATATATATATATATATATATATATATATATATGTGTGTTTATGTCAAGAATTACCCACAGTTCCTCTCGACTGCTGAGTTCGCCTCGAACCTAATTTAGCTTTATTGTTATTTGTTTTAAGTTGTCTCACATATCATACTTACAGATGCGCATGCGCGGAAATATATTCTAGGGAAAGATGATGAAAAACTCTCGGTAATTTTGAATAAACGCCGAAAGGCACACAGCTAATCATGAAGTCCTGGCTTGAATCAATATTTGCGAGAGATCCTCACAAGAAGAGAAACGCTCGGAATGAAAAGAGAACCGAAAGAAATTGCCCGCAAATAGCCAGCGGTCAACCTGATCGACGTCAATAACTAATAGAGACAAGGGCTATCCATCCAATGCGATGATTAATATTTTCTGCGTCTGATTTGAGGATTTTCGTAATGCCTAAATGCCTCAAAGAGAATGGTTAGATAAGAAGATATGAACGCCGCGAATCAGATGTCTGAACGTTTCACAGCAAAACAAGTCAAAACAAAAAAAAAAAAATACAAACAAAAAAAAAAAAAACGAAAAAGTGCTTTACCGAAAGAATAAAACAACACCGTGTTTACATTTGATTAGAAACGAACAGGTGTTTAAATATAAACTAACCATATTTGCAACTGCAAATTTTGTTGTCCCACGACAAATGTTATACGATATCATGAATCTGCTTGTCCTTCCATTTTTTTTACTTAGTTAGCACAACAGTTACGCCCAGCCAATAGAAAGAAATAATGGTTTGTTGGAATTTGATCACGTAGAAAAACGGAAAAAAACGTATCAGAGACGCTACTTTGCTTCCGTGAGAAAATGAAAGAAAAAAAAAAGACACAAGATGCAATGAAACTCTCCCGTGTTTAAAGTCTGTTTTAGTAAAATAGAAAAAAGTTTCTATATGTACCGTCTTTTCTATTTATTATCGTTTTTGCTATATATCTTCCCAATTGTTAAGCTGAAATGTTTAATGATGCGATAGGGGAATTTCAAGTTATATTTTATTTTCTCAGAACCCGCCATCAGTTTATTACGTCATTAACTTCAGAATTATTAGTCATCAGAAAATTCAAATAGGAAAACTATGAAAATTTTTCGTGTAGTTCTGGTATTTAATGCAAAGGTTTTATCCCAGGTAGATAAAGGCGTTGCTACAACGTTATTTCAAATTTACAAATGACACTAAAATTACTTTGTCCTGTAATGTAAGAAAATTAGTAATAATTTCCATATAGGTATTAGAATGTGCGTATATCATTTGGTTTAGTGTTTCCCAATGCGAAATATAAGAAGAATAAATTATACATATAATATATATATATATAATTAATTCTTATAAGTAATAAATATGAAATGAAATATAAGAATAAATTGTATATATGTATATATATATATATATATATATATATATATATATATTTATTTAAAACATTTTTATGTTTAACGTTCTTTTTTTTTTTTAGATACAAGTATTTAAAAGTAAATGTTCTGTTTATAATAAACAGTATTAAATAACATTTACAGGCCGGTAAATGTTATTTAATACTGTTTATTATAAACAGAGCATTTACTTAAATACTTGTATCTATAAAAAAAAAAAACAACGTTAAACATAAAAATGTCTTTAATAAATAAATTGTCGGACTTTGTCCATTTCTTAATATATATATATATATATATATATATATATGATTTATTCTTCTTATATTTATACCAACGTTTATAACAACTTAATACTTCTCGTTTTCTCTTGCGCGTGGTTAGGTGTGACATCATGAGCTGCAGAGCGATTTTTGCTTCCAGCGTCTGGTATGCACGAGTTTGACGTTGCTTAGAAATCTTCCACGCAACAACAAACAGAGAATCATTATTGCCATGTCCATGTATTGTTTAATTTATTGTAATGTAATTGTCATCTTTGATCTTATGTAAGCCGAAAGCGTAGATAGGATTAAAAAATATGTATCAATATGGTGATTTTCTTTCATATTTTAATGATAATGTTATGAAGCTTATCAGACGATATGAAAAGAATTTACATAAAATAAATAGACAAAACATAATATTTAATGAAATTTAATATATATATATATATATATATATATATATATATATATATATATATATATATACCTACATTTGTAGTGCAACTTAAAGTTTCATGGATTTGCAAGTCGTCGCGAGGAATGTTTAGAACGTTCGCTTTCTGACCATGAAACCAGGGATCGAATCTCACCTGGTCGATTTGTCAGGACTTGATGTTTTCGGTCTAGAGCAGGTGATCCCTGCGTGTGGCACATTTGGTTGACCCTAGGTTGTCGTCGGTGGTTGTGCTAGGATGAAGACAAAAGTCATCGTGACCGAGGCTTTGAGCGTGCTATCCCTGCTTAGACTGTTGATCCCATTAGATAGCTTTAACTAAGGTCCATTCAGGATATGTGCAGTATAAACCACGGATGGGCTCTGTGGGTGTTGAACGACACAAATGTGCCTGAGCAGGCGTCTGCCCTGGGGATTAGCTAGCGATATAGTAAACCGGCTTCCATTTACACTTACATTTAGTTGATAGTGAGAATACATAGTAAATACATCTTACTTATTATAAAACGCAGATTGTGTGTGTGTGTGTGTGTGTCTGTAACGTTTATATATTGAATCGGATTTCTTACATTTTTCAACCGATTTCAACAGAACTTCACAGGACTACATAAAATTACCTTTTGGTGGTTCTGACAGCACCAAAAATGGGAAAAATACAATTGTTTTTGCTCAAAATCAATTTGAAAACACGATTAAGAGACATCGTGAGAATGAAAGGGGGACAGCTCACATCGGGTTAAAAAAAAAACAGGTTGTTTGTGTGTGTGTGTTCCTTTATATATGGGATCGGATTTCCTACATTTTTCAACCGATAAAACAAAAATTCACTAATTCAATAACCTTTGTCAATTTTATTTTTCAGTCTTTATGATGGTGGATACTTGATCTATCTCTTACTGTTATATCCCCGGGCAACGCCGGGTTCTACTGCTAGTTGTAAATATACTGAGTAAGGAACATTTAAATTTCTTAAGACAAATAATAAGGAAAAAGTGTTTAGAAAATTTGACACTCACAGAATATTTTGCAGGCTACAGGTAGAGAGGAAAACAACTCATCTTTCTTTTTTATGTGCCATGTCCTTTCAGGACGTAGGTGATCATGGTTCTCCATCCTCCTCTATTCCTTGCATCTCTCAGCAAGTTCTTTCCTCTACTTCCTCCCCAGACAACGTTCTATCATACCGCCAGGGATGTCACGCGCTTCTTTCCCTTGTGTCTCTTTCCCTCTCTTCGACCCGTGTGAATCAGATTCTCCAGGCCATTCTTCATCAGTATGTGTCCCAGAAACTTCAGCTGCCTCTTCCTGATGTTAAATATATCCCTCCTTAGGGTTAGTAGAAGTAGCCAAAAGAGAAAGTTTACTAACCGCTACAAAGGATGGGCGAGTGTGGAGAGCCATGAACGTTCGCGTACAAGAAGAAGAACAAGACGAAGAAAAAATATTATAGGAAAATATTGAGGTGATAATATACGAGTTAAGATAGATAGATAGATAGATAGATAGATACGGAGTTGAGATAGATAGATGGATAGATAGATAGATATTTGTATAACCCAGTTTAATTTGAGTGTAAATATTGCCATTAGGGTCGTGAAAGGGGATGTCAATATTTACACTCAAACGAACGGCTACGAAGCCTAAAGTATATGACAGCTATATAGAAGACATTTTTATTTTAGCTGAAAATAAAAGGGAAATGTATAATTTCAAAAGAACACTTAAAAAATCTGTCCTTAATTTTATCTATGTACTTAATCATAAACATAAAAAAAAAACTATTCTTAAACGTTTTTGAAAGATTAAATAGCAAGACGCACGCTACTACTCCTACTACCACGCACACACGCACACAAACATATATATATATATAGATGGGTTCAGGCCCTGTCTACCTCCCCGGACGAAACCTTGCCCTTCGGCAAAGCCTCGTCCGGGTTCCTCTCTGCTAACGCAGAGTTCGACAGGAGGCGTGCGCTGTCAAAGACCGCGAGTCGCCATTCGGTATTTATCATTTCACCCACGGGAAACGAATATGCCACAAGGCCGGTTTTATTGTGGGTTTCTCCGAGCCCGTACGCTCGGCCAAAAAAATAGCCTTTTGAAGCCGATTAGACGGATTCAGGCCCTGTCAACCTCCCCGGACGAAACCTTGCCCTTCGGCAAAGCTTCGTCCGGGTTCCTCTCTGCTAACGCAGAGAGTTCGACAGGAGGCGTGCGCAGTCAAAGACCGCGAGACGCCATTCGGTATTTATCTTTTCACCCACGGAAAAGAATATGGCACAAGGCCGGTTTTTATGTGGGTTTCCCGAGCCCGTAGGCTCGGCCAAAAAAAAAGCCTTTTTGAAGCCGATTAGACGGGTTCAGGCCCCTGTCTACCTCCCCGGACGAAACTTTGCCCTTCGGCAAAGCCTCGCCTGGTTCCTCTTCAACGCAGAGTTCGACAGAGGCGTGCGCAGTCAAAGACCGCGAGACGCCATTCGGTATTTATCTTTTCACCCACGGAAAAGAATATGGCACAAGGCCGGTTTTTATGGGGTTTCCCCGAGCCCGTAGGCTCGGCCAAAAAAATAGCCTTTTTGAAGCCGATTAGACGGGTTTCAGGCCCTGTCTACCTCCCGGACGAAACTTTGCCCTTCGGCAAAGCTCGCCTGGGTTCCTCTCTGCTAACGCAGAGAGTTCGACAGGAGGCGTGCGCAGTCAAAGACCGCGAGACGCCATTCGGTATTTATCTTTTCACCCACGGAAAAGAATATGGCACAAGGCCGGTTTTTTATGGGTTTCCCCGAGCCCGTAGGCTCGGCCAAAAAATAGCCTTTTGAAGCCGATTAGACGGGTTCAGGCCCTAGCCTCTTACCTCCCCGGACGAAACTTTGCCCTTCGGCAAAGCTCGTCTGGGTTCCTCTGCTAACGCAGAGAGTTCGACAGGAGGCGTCCGCAGTCAAAGACCGCGAGATGCCATTCGGTATTTATCTTTTCACCCACGGAAAAGAATATGGCACAAGGCCGGTTTTATGGGTTTCCCCGAGCCCGTAGGCTCGGCCAAAAAATAGCCTTTTGAAGCCGATTAGACGGGTTCAGGCCCTGTCTATTCCCCGGACGAAACCTTGCCCTTCGGCAAAGCTTGTCTGTTCCTCTCTGCTAACGCAGAGTTCGACAGGAGGCGTCCGCAGTCAAAGACCGCGAGATGCCATTCTACCAGACTTGCCACTGCTACCCCACTTATTATCTATGGAGAGTCCATTACAATAGCATAAGTACCTAACAGAGAGTAATTCTGATTTTTTTTGCTCAAAGTAGAGTCCAATAGTGTCATAAAAAATCGGAGAATTCAAGTAAGTAATGCAACGGTTCAAACCTTGATCTAACAATTGTAGAAATTTGTTGTTTTATTTGGTATATATATATATATATATATATATATATATATATATATATATATATATATGCTTAGATACACATGCATATATATACACACACATACACATACATATATATAAATAAACAGATTCACACATATATATATACATACACACACACACACACACACATATATATATATACACACATATATATAAATGCACAGATGCACATACACAAACACACATATATATATATATACACACATACACATACATATATATAAATACACAGATAAACACACACATATATATATAAATACACAGATACACACACACATATATATACATATGCACACACATATACACACACATATATATAAATGCACAGATGCACATACACACACGCACAAACACACGCACGTACATATATATATATATATGTGTGCACACACACACATATATATTTATATATATATATATATGTGTTAAATACACTGATACGCACACACACAAAAACACATACATATATATATATAAACAGATACACCCACACATAAAACATACATACATATATATATCAACAGTTTCAAAGCGTAAAAGCATGCAAACGCTCTCTGACATCATCAAAACACCTGCATTTTTCCAGCACGTTCATCAGACCATTGATGCCAATCCCAGAAAATCCTTGAGGTCACTTACAATGGATTTTCATGCGCCAAAAGGAACAATCAGAAATGACCACGAAAACATCTGATGTAACTGTTATGTGATGAGGAAAGGTCGATTTATATCATATAAACATAAAGAAGATCGATTAATCAGATCTTAATCAAACATAAAAATCAAGCAGATGATGTCATTACGTTTATCTAATACGAGAAAAACTTTGACCAAGTTCCGAAATTTAACATGAAAAATAACAGATGTTTATGTGCAGTCCCTTCTGAATTCCCAACAGTCCCTGCATCTCTCCTGTTTTATGGGGGGGGGGGGGTAGAGAACAATGAAGCCATGTAATGTCTCCCCACTTCTTTCTAGAAGGAATGATAGTTAACTCTGCTGCCAACATTCCTAAAAACTTTTGTTAAGCCTTGGATAGAAAGTGTATACAATGGATGGTCGTTTGCGTATCAGTAAATCCATGATCTGACACAATGCTCAAATAACGAAGAAATGGATGGCTGGAAATTTTCATAATCACATAACCCCTGACATTTGACCTCCTAACTCCCAAGATCTCAATCCATTGGAGTTATTGGCGCGAAGCGTTGTTGAGGGCGTGGTCAATGAACAACCCCATGATACCAACGATTCTTTGAAATTCACCATAGTTAGAGTAATGTACAATATGAACCAGGGTCATTTAATTCGAACAAGCACATGATTTCGATCACGCATAGAAGCATTTATTGAAGCTGGTGGTGTATTTACGGAATACATTTATAACAAAAAATCTCCTTTTATGATTATAAGATTTTAAATCATAAAGTTATTATCTCTTATTATTTATCTGTTCTTCGACAAACATAAATATGTCCTCAAATACCTTACGCACAATATATATATATATATATATATATATATATATATATATTAAGAATTCAACCTCAAGCAAGGAGTTACAGAGAGTTGGAGCGAGGAGTGATAGAGGAAAGGATGATGAGAATGTTAGGGGATAGATCAGGGCATCTGGAGACGTCGATTGACGTTACATTTGGATAGCTGGTGATTATAGCTATCAGGAAATCAAGTAAAGGGCGGAGTTCCACAGGCGAGAAGTGCGAGACACGAAAGTAATGGAGTAGAAGAGATGGCTCCATTTAACAGTTTCGACAGGGACAGGGTAAGTCCGAGATGCCAGCCTAGCTGAACACTTAAATTCATGAAGTCTGGGAACCAGCGAAATTAACTCATCGGAGCAGTTATCGTGAAAGTATTTGTAAAAAAAAAGACAGAGGGAGGCAACGGCACGTCTGTGAGAGAGCGACTGCAGACGAGATGCCAGATCAGGGCCAGTTACATTGCATATCCGTCTCTGGATCTTATCAATGACCTTGAGACAATTAGAAGGGACTCCAGACCATATATAGCAGCAATACTTCATGCAAGGGCGAATGGTTGATTTGTAGAATTTGAAGAATCGACTTCGGCGAGAAAAATTTCGTGGCGCGGCATACGGAGCCAACTTTCCTAGCGATGGACGAAGCTATTGACTCAGTATTCGTTCCATCTCAAGTCAGCGGAAAATGTGAGACCGAACAGTCACAAAGAGGTGCTCTCATGGAGTTGAGCGTCAGACATTCTAATGGGATGCAGGGATGGTTCTCTCTGGTGAGTAATAGAGAGCAATTTTAATTTTGAGGCATTAAAGTTAACCAGCCAATTCCTTAGCCAGTCCACAACCGACTGGAGGTACTTTTCAAGACAAATGACCAGGTTAGTTTTGTCGGCGACACTAGATTTGTTTTTGAGGCAGGAGTAAATAGTAGTGCCGTCTGCACAAATGCCTACTTGGGAACCTATGACGTCAGGAAGATCGTTGATGAAGATAAGGAACAGGGTAGGGCCTAGGAGAACACATGCATTCGTGGGATAGGAGCTGGAGGAGAATCCGTTGAGAACGGCCTTCAGTGCAGGGTTCGACAGGAATGATTGTATTAAGTCGAACAATCGACCTATAATTCCATAATATGCCATACCCTATCAAAATCTTTATAAATCTTTAGATGGATTGATGTGAGTTTGTTAGCTCTATCACTGATATTGAGCGCTTTCCAATAAGTAACGCGCATATATAGTATATAAATAACACAGAGACACACACATATATATATCTATATATATATATATATATATATATATATATATATATATATTTATATATATATATATATATATATATATATTAAAGACATTTTTTTGTTTAACTTTCTTTTTTTATAGATACAAGTATTTAAGTAAATGCTCTGTTTATAATAAACAGTATTAAATAACATTTACCGGCCTGAATGTCCGAGAAATTTTCATAGAAAATAGTCGTCCTTTGACAGGATTCGAACCTGCATCCTATACGGAACCGTCATTTACGCTGACGTGCCACAAAGGAGCGTTCGGTAGGCAAGGTCGAATTTACTGCTTATAAACTTCAATCTTCCATGAATCTCGTACATTCATAACTGCTCTGGTGTATCAAATGTAAACAAATGACGTCATATATAAAGAAA